TAACAGGCCCAAGGTCATGCAGCTGGCCAGTGGTGAAGACAGCATACAAGCCAAGATTTCTTTACTCCACCATGCCTTCTACCCCATGGGAGTTGAAGATTCCAACACAAATCCTTCTGTTGAGTTTCAAGAAAGTCATTCCCACCACGGGGAGGTGAAGCTAATGCCCTCATGACTGCAGGTCACTGGAGGGTTAAGCATAAGCCCCAGGCCATGCAGATGCCCAGGAACTTCTCTCACTTTGTTTCAGAGAAAGCTAAGGCTGCTCTGCTCCTGGAATGACTGAGCAGGCATGTTTCAGCACAGGACACAGTAGGACTCAGGCAGGAGGGCCTCCTGCCGGCACGTGCAAACTGAGTGCTGTGCAGGGCAGAAGGGCACAGCCAGCCATGAGATTCTGTTCCAGAACCTGGTTTCCTGAATGCCTCTTCAACCTGTCAAGCTGAATCACCAAGTACCAGCATCTCCTGATAAGAAATTCTATGACAGGTTGAGCGCGGAACCACACACCTGTAATCCCAACAGCTCAGGAAGCTGAGGCAGGAGGATCACAGTTCAAAGCCAGCCTCGGCAACTTAGGGAGGCTCTCAGCAACCTAGCAAGACTCTGTCTCAAAATGAAAAATAAAAAGGGGCTGGGGTGTGGCTCAGTGCTTAAGTGCCCTGGGTTCAATGCTGGTACCAAAAAAGAAAAGAAATTCTACAACAGGATACAATGTACCATTTCTTGCCTTGCCTCCATCTCTCCCCTGCCCAGTCTATTTTAAACTCCTAGAAGGAAGCTGGGATTCTCTGAAGAAGGTAAGGACTACTGTTGTCATAGTAACAGGAGAAGCCATTAAGGGTTGGGCCTCAAAGGATGAGCCACTGCCAGATGCCATGTTGCACATCTGTAATCCCAGGGACTCTGGACACTGAGGCAGGAGGATCACAAGTTCAAAGTCAGTCTTAGCAATTTAGCAAGGCCCTAAGCAAATTAGCAAAACCCTGTCTCAAAATAAAAAATGAAAAGGGGCTAGGGATGTGGTTCAGTGTTGAGCATCCCTGGGTTCAATCCCTGGTACCAAAAACAAAACAAAACAAAACAAAAACAAGGAGCCACTTCAGAAGGGTGAGGGCACTGTACCCACCCCCTCTGCCTTTTCAAAAGGAGATTACTCCTAAAAGGTGAGATCTCAACCTGTTGTTATATAACCTTCAAGTTTCCTACTGAAATATCAAAACCAGCTCCTCTCGTTTTACCCTCTGGAAAATCCTCTTTGCAGATACGTTTTTGCAAACTTCCTTCAATATTCCCTTCACCCAAGTGAGTCAGCTCAACTTCTTCATGGTTCTTTCTCAGACCCTTATTTGTGTGTCTGGCTCCAATTCCAGATTTTCTCCCACTTTTAAAACTGCTCAGGTTTGGGCTGGGGGTGTAGCTCAGTGGTAGAGTTCTTGCCTAATATACACAAGACCTGGGTTCAATTCTCAGCACCATAAAAGCAAACAAACAAACAAACAAAAAACCTGCTCAGGCTTGCATGCTTCTTGTGAGGACCCAATAGATGACCCAGGATTAGTGAACACTGTGTCCTTAAGTGATCAAATGAAATATCAGAGGTGGAGCTCCCATTACTGATTCTACCAGTGGGAAGGGAGAAACTGGCCCAGGTGTGTAACTCTGCTTCACTTGTACTCCCCTTGCACACACACATACAAACACAAATCATGCAAGCCTATTCACTAAGTTCTAAGATAAAACTCTGGCTCAGGAGAAGACAGTATTTTCTAGAAGGCAAGGATATATGATGGAAAGAACACTAGTCATCAGTAGATCCATATTTGAGTCCCCCATTATTTACTGGTGTAAAACTGGAACCAAGTCACTTCACTGGAATTCAGCTTCTTCATCTGTGAAATGGGGCTAATCAAAGCTGCAGCAGCTATACAAGGATTGTGGTGCAACTCATAGGAGCTAAAAATTGTGAAAGCATTTTGTTAACAGCAAAGCATTTCTGTTATCGTAGAAAGCTCTACTGCATAGGGATGCTCTTGCCACTCAGACTGGTCCACTAACTGGCATCACAAGCATCATCTGGGCACTGATTAGAAATGTAGAATCTATCTGGAGGCTGAGGCAGGAGTACCACAAGTTCAAAGCCAGCCTCAGCAACTTAGCAAGGCCCTAAACAACTTATCAAGAACCTGTCTCTAAGGCGTTGAGTTCAATCCTCAGCACCACATAAAAATAAAGTATGGTGTCCAACTACAACTAAAGCAAAATAAATATTACAAAAAAAAGAAAAATCTGTCTCTAAATAACATATAAAAAAGGGCTAGGGATGTGGCTCAGTGCTTGGTACCTGGGTTCAATGACCAGAAAAAAAAGAAAGACATTAGAGCCAGGTGTAGTGGTGCCCACTTGTAATCCCAGCAATTTAAGAAGCTGAGATAGGAGGATCACAAGTTCAAGGCCAGCCTCAGCAATTTAGCAAGGCCCTAAGCAACTTATCAAGATCCTGTCTCAATCAGGTGTAGTGATGCACACTTATAATCCCAGCAATTTAAGAGGCTGAGACAAGAGGATCACAAGTTCAAGGCCAGCCTCAGCAATTTAGCAAGGCCCTAAGCAACTTATCAAGATCCTGTCTCAATCAGGTGTAGTGATGCACACTTGTAATCCCAGCAATTTAAGAGGCTGAGACAGGAGGATCACAAGTTCAAGGCCAGCCTCAGCAATTTAGCAAGGCCCTAAGCAACTTATCAAGATCCTGTCTCAAAAAATAGGTGGGAAAGTAGCTTAGTGGTAGAGTGCCCCTGGGTTCAATCCCCAGTACAAAAAATAAATAAACAAACAAGCTAGGGAAGTAGCTCAGTGGTAAAGTGCCTCTGGGTTAAACCCCCAGTAGGACACTCTCACACACATGAACACACAAACAAATACAGAATTTCAAAGCTGAGTGAGGTGGTGCACATATGTAATCCCAGCTACTCAGGAGGCTGAGGCAGGAGGATCTCAAGTTTGAGGACAGCCTGGTAATTGGGCAAGACCCTATTTCAAAATAAAAATGACTGGGGATATAGTTCAGTGGCACAGTGCCCCTGCGTTCAAGTCCCAGTACAACGAAGAAAAAGAAAAAGAAAAACAGAATTTCAGGCTGTACCCTAGATCTGCTGAATAAGAGCTAACAACTTTTAAAAGATCACTAGATGCACATCGAAGTTTGGGAAGCATTGCTTTAAACATTAGGGACTATCAATATAAGAATTACAACACCTATCTAGGAATCCTGGATCATTATGATCAACAACTTGTCACTGGAACTGGACACAATGGATCATTTGGTCCATTCCAGTCTTTTCAGTCAAACACCAATCAAACCACCTTATACAACTACTGACAATTTTACTCATGGGTTCCCACTTCTCAGATGTAAACAAGAGTGGAGACAAGCATCCTCTATTCCTTCTGTCCTTCCTACAGCATCTGCATCAGATCTCTGCATCCCGGAGCTGACTGCCATGAAACGTGACTACATTTGCAAGCTTGCCCACTGTCCTACTGAACATGCATTTCCCAGGCGATGCCCCGACCCCTCCCTCAGGGTAATCTCCTTCCTTTGACATGGCAGCCTTCCTTGGTCTTCCATAAGTACCCATGTGATCCCTCTCATAGACGCCACATGACAGTTCTCTCCACACACTCCACATGGCACCCCTCTCTATGCAGATTTGGTCCCGGTCCCCCGCACAGTCACCTCTGGGTCCTAGGACCTGCTCCTCACAACGCTCCTTTTGCTGTCCGTGAATCTCATACTCCTCAGCCAGGAAGGGATGCCTCGCCGAACTTGCCCTTCGTTCCCCAAACTGCAGGGCGAGCTCTAGAGCCCGGCAGCTGGGCATCGCTGACATCCACTGCCCCCCGGCAGGTCCGGGTCCTTAGAGACCTCAGCCCTCAGGCACCGCTACTCCCACGGTTTCTTACCTTCTCAGACCCCGGCGGCTCCACCGAGTCTGAGGCGAACTCCAACCCCGGACCTCTAGGCCGCAGGCCCCGCTTGACCCTCCGTTCCCAGCGGCTGCCAGCCTCTGGTCGCATCTTCCTCCATCTCGACTAGGATCCCGGTACTGCCGGAACCGGAAACTGGGACGCTGTCATTCCCGCCCCCCGGTAACTGCACCAATGGCGTTCTGAGCCTTTGAGCCTCCCCCAGGAGCGAGGATGGACGGTCCTGACGGCCATCTTGTCTTAGGGCGGTAGCCACGCCCCCTCTGCCTTCGCGGCGCCCCCAGGTCTAAAGCGCATGCGTGCTCTGCTAGGGCTGTTTCTAATTCGCGGATGAGTCCCTGATCCTTTCTGGAAGATCCAGTTGTAAGTGGGTCACCGCCTGCTTTAGGATCCGTTGGAATCTTTATGTTCAAATCTGATCTTTTAGAGTGAAATCCCCAGCAATGCAAGGGGAAAAAAAATGTAATCTTTAATTTTGGGGTAGCTTTTCTCATTATTTTTTTATAGAGCCCAAATAGTAGAGGTCAAAGTGCGGCAGGAAGGACTGAGGTTAGATAACTAATTTTGAGGTTTAGGAACGAAAAAAATTGCAGGAATGAAGGACACCTTGGAGGTGGAGAAAATAACATTAAGCGTCTCATCCAGCTCTGAAACTGTTTGTGCCTACGGGTAGATTTTTTTTTTTTGAGAGAGAGAGAATTAATTATTTATTTTTAGCATTTGGTGGACACAACATCTTTGTTTGTATGTGGTGCTGAGGATCAAACCTGGGCCGCAGGCATGCCAGACAAGTGCGCTGTCACTTGAGCCACATCGCCAGCCCAGATTTTTTTTTTTATTCTACACTTCAGTTTTTCCCCAATTTTACTGATATATAAAATTGAATACATTGATTGGGTGCTATGTGATATTTTTATACATGTATACATTGTGTAATGTTGTGGGGCGGTTTTGTTTTGAACTCGGGATTGAACCCAGGGTTACTCTACCATACCATTGAGCTTCATCCCCATCCCTTTAAATTTTTTATTTTGAGACAGGGTCTCATTAAGTTGCTTAGTGCCTTGCTAAAATCGCTAAGGCTGACTTTGAATTTGTGATCCTCCTGCCTCAGCCTCCTAAATCACTGGAATTACAGTCATGAACCACGACACCCATGTAATATTTAAATCAGGTTAAACCTATTTTCTAAAACACGTATCATTTCTTAATGATGAAAACATTCAGAATCCTTCTAGTTTTGTTTTTTTTTAATATAGACTACATATTGTCACCTATAGTCACTTTACTGTTCATACCAAATTTTTACTCCTATCCATCTGCAATTTAGTACCCATCAACTTTTCCCTCATCTCTCCCTTCCCTCAATTTCTGGCAACCACCATTCTATTCTAAACCAAGGCCTCGGAGCTACATCCCCAGCCCTTTTTATTTTTTTTATTTTGAAACAGGCTCTCACTAAGTTGCAATGTTGAGAGCCACAATTTAGTCGGAATGATGCCTGGCATTTTGCTAGAGGGAATGGTTGAAAGGTGACCCTGCTCCGGGATTAGGGCGGTTCTGGGATTAGGGCGGATCCTGGGTGGGGAATAGGGCTGCCAGGATTAGGGGCACCTGCTACTTTAGAGTTCCCTTTGAGTTCTGGTGGGGTTCGGGAGAATTGGCTCGGGGAGCCCGGTGGAGGGAGTGTGTTCCCGGGAAGTGTGTGTAGAGTGCCGGTGAGAGTTTGGGAATAAAGAGTTGCTGTTTCAACCTACAAGGCTTTGTGGCAGCTCGGTTATTTTGTGCCCAGCCAGACTGCGGCATTGCAGAGTCTGACCTTGAATTTGGGATTCTCCTGCCTCAGTCTTCCAAGTTACCGGAATTACAGTTTGCACCACCATTCCCAGCTGTATTCTCAACTTCTATGAGATCAACTTTTTTATATTCATACGAGATCATATGGTAATTGCTTTTCAGTGCCTGGCTTATTTCTGTTAACATGGGATTGAACCCAGCGACGCTTAACCACCAAGCCACATCCCTGGTCCTTTTTATTTTTTGAGACAGGATCTTGCTAAGTTGCTTGGGGCTTCTCTAAATTGCTGAGGCTGGCCTCAAACTTGCAATCTCCTGCCTCAGCCTCCTAAATAGGTGGGACACGGGACCCAGAAGTAATGCTTGCTTTGAAGTATTCCTTAATACATTCAGGCCGACACCTTAACCATCACAAGGAATGGTTCAAGGAGCTTCAGGGTCACTTGAATAAATATGTCCATCAGGATTGTCCTTGTACTGGCCAGAGCACAGGACAGGAGAAAGCTCAACTCTGGAGCTGTGTAGCTGGCAGTGTATAGCTGCTTTCAAGTGGGAAGATTTTTCTGTCTATTCCTTTCATCCAGTAGGTGGAGAAGTTGAGGTACAGATGGGAAGAGCCGCCCAAGTCTATTAAGAGCACATGAAAGTTCCAGGAGCCTAATCCTAGTCCAGGGTCCTCTCCACTGTCCCAGGCTTCTCCACAGCCCTTGGTCTAGAGGTCATCAGGGGAGTGGCAAGACAGGAAGCCAGGAATGGGAAAGACTGAGCATTGGGGTGGAAGCATACTGGGGGGATGGGAAATGAGAGGAAGAAAAGGAAACAGCAAGAAAAAAGAAATAACTAGAGAAGCCAAATAGCTCCAATAAAAAGTCACAGTAGATAGGATCTGAAAGAGAGATCTGCACTCCCATGTCCACTGCAGCATCACTGACAATAACCAAAGGTGGAAGTAACCCAAATACCAATCAATGGAGGGATGTATAAGAAGAGATGGCATGTATACACAATGGAGTATTATTCAACCTTAAAAAAGGAAATCCTGAGGAGTGTGGTGGTGCACGCCTGTAATCCCAGCAACTCAGGAGGCTGAGGCAGGAGGATCAGCATATTAGCAATCCTTAGTAACTCAGCAAGATCCTGTCTCTAAATAAAATATTAAAAAGGGCTGGGGAGGGGCCAGGGTTGTTGCTCAGTGGTAGAACACTTGCCTAGCATGCGCAAGGCACTGGGTTAGATTCCTGGCACCACATAAAAATGAAAACAAATAAAATAAAGGTATTGTGTCTATCCACAACTAAAAAAAATTTTTTTAAAGATGGGCTGGGGATATGGCTCAGTGGTTCAGTGCCCCTGGGTCAATACCCCCAACAATACCACCTCTGCACACACACAAAAAAAAGAAATTATGTCACACCCCACAAAAGAATGAACCTGGAGAACACTATGTTAAATGAAATAAGCCAGTCGTAAAAGGACAAATACTCTGTAATTTCACTATGAGAGTAACCTAGAGTAGCTAAATTCATGAAAACGAAAAGTCAAAAGGTGGTTGCCAGGGCCCAGAGTTTGTGTTTTGCAAGATGCAAAAAGTCTAGACACCTGTTCACAAGAATGTGACTGTAGTTGATGCTACTGAACTGTACACTTAAAAAGCGGCTAAGGGCACGGTGGAGTATGCCTATAATGCCAGTGGCTGGGGAGGCTGAGGCAGGAGGACTGCAAATTTGAGGCCAGTCTCAGCAACTTCATGAAGCCTTAAGCAACTTAGCAAGACCCTATCTCAAAAAAAAAAAAAAAAAAAAAAGGATGGGGATGTGTCTCAGTGGTAAATCACCACTGGGTTCAGTTCCCGGTACTGCAAGATACAAACAAATGCATACAAACAAATACATACAAACAAATAAGTAAATAAACAGATAGATAAAACCCTTTAGTAGAGCCAGGCGTGGGGGCTCAAGCCTGTAATCCCAGCAGCTCAAAGGTCAAGGTTGACTTCCTCAGTTAAAGGCTTATAGGAACTCTAGGGAAAGTCATTTGAGGGGGGGAGGGGAAAATAAACCAAATCACAGAGGATTAAAGAAGGAGGGTGACAGAGTAAGTGGAGGGGACCATAGCCGATGTGTGCTGGTGTTGACATGACAGAGAGAGGGAGCGGGGTGGACTGATGGGTGGAGTTCTGGGGAGGGTTATTGTCCCCCCTGAAGACAGAAGGAAACCAAGCGGAGCCAGGCAGAGGAGCGCACGCCTGCCATCCCAACAACTCCCGAGGCTGAGGCAGGAGGATGGAAGGGTCAAGGACAGCCTGGAGAACCTAGGGAGACCTTGCCTCAAAATGAAGAATAAAAAGGGCTGAGGACGTGGTAAAATGCCCCTGGGTTCAATCTCCTGCACCAAAAATACACAGAGGGAGTGGGTCAAGTGTTGTGGGCATGGTGGTCCAGGTCCGTAATTTACAGAGCAAACTCCTAGCTGTGACAGAGACGGGGGACAAACACCCCGCTTGCTCTTGGTGGGAGGAAGGACTTGTACCTCCTTGGTGGGAGGGAGAGGCGGGAGGTGGTGTGGGGGTGTGGACAGAGCCTTGTTTGTCAGATATTGAGAGGGACATGGCCAGGAGGGGGTGGCTGCATCGTCTTTCTATAAATTCGTCGACCAAGACTTGAAGCCAACTGCTGCTCAGCGGCTGAGCTGGAGTCACGAGAAGTGTGGGAGAGCTGGGGACGGCGACTGTGGGCGCCCTGCAAGGGAGTCGGTAGTGACAGTAATGACGAGGTGTCACTGTCTAGCAGGCACAAGCCGAGGCCGGTGGGTGCTGCGGGAAAGGTTCAGGGTGCTCCCAGCAACCCCAGTGTGCAGGAGAGGGCTCTGGCAGGCAGCAGAGGTCTTCCGGAGTCATCCCACAAACCCAGTGGTGGGTCCGCCCTGTGTTCTCAGGCCTCACGCTGCATATCCCGGCTGTCCTCTGGGAACACCCTGCTCCCCCCCAAACCAGCACCAGTCACGAGCTTTGTCTTTTTAATAAAAAATAATCTGTCTGTGACAAGCATTGTTCAGAACCTCAAAACACAGGGAAGGGGTGAGGACAGAGGACAAGGGGTCAGCAAGGGTAAAGAAGTGAACAAGGCTCAGATTACCCCTGCCCTTCTAGTCGGGCAGAAAGAATACAATCTGCCCCCAACGGAAGCAAGAGGGAAGATGGTCAGACTTTAGGAAAGACTTCCTAGAGTCAGTGGTGTGTGGTTGATAAGGGGAGCAGGAGTGGGCAGCTCCCTGCAGAATCCTGGAGACCCCCGGGAGGAGGGAGGCTGGTGTCCGAGGTGGCAGCTGCATTCAAGGTGGAGTTTCCAGGACCAGGTCCAGTCACGGTCATTGGGGTGTCTGGTGGTCAATACGGGGGTCCTGGAGCAGTCGGGGTTTCCATATCTCAGTAAGTTTCTGGAGGGTCCCTGGAGTGGCCAGAACTGCGGGGTCCTCTCCAGGTCCCCCTGTTGTGGTGCAGGCCTGGGGGCAGCCTCCCCCGACAGAGCCTCTGTGCTTGGTGGAAGGGAGTCCCCTAGGGAGGCCTGCGTGGGGCTCCGCAGGGTGCCGTGGGCGGCTCAGCGAGGCAAGACAAGCTCCAGTCATGGAAGGAGGACAGTCACTTGTGCTACTCCCCAGTCGGGGCTGCCCTGCGCAGGGTCCCAGGCAGCACGGCCAGGAGCCAGCTCTGCTCAGCAAGGGCTCTTGCCCGGGCCCAGAGTTTAAGCCACCTCCGTGCCCAGTCGGCTGTCAGCGTCCGTGTCACTGACGGAGGTCCTGCAGTCCTTGTGGGGCTGGAGACACTGCTCCCTGCTCAGGGGGGCCTTCTCCCCAGGGGGCGGGCTCCCACAGCCCTGGACCTTGCCCCGAGCCCGGAGTGCCCCCAGCGGGGAGGCGAGGAGGACAATCAGGGCGCCGGAGAGCACTAGGGCCAGCAGGACGGTGACCACGAGGAAGTGGGGCCAGTAGGAGCGCTGGACGGCCACGGCAGCCCCACCACCGACCCTGGTCAGGGGGACCTCCACGCGCTCCCGGGGGATGCCAGCCAGTTCAGGGTCCAGGGCCAGGGCCTGCTCCTCGCTGTCCACCCAGTAGGAGACCACGGGGTATGAGAAGCCGTTCTCGGTGGCCACGCACTGGTACAGGCCCCCGACTCCATCCCGGGGCAACAGCAAGAGGGAGCCGTTATAGACGGCAGAAGAGGCTTCTGGGAGGGCCGCCTGGCTGTGACTCCAGTGGTAGGAGGCCAGTGCTGACAGGTGGGGGCAGGGGAGCTCCAGGATGGAGTTGGGGACAGCCAGGACCTCTTTAACTGGAAGACAAGGAAAGCCACAGCTATTAAGGAATCGGGGAAGAAGGAAGACGGGAGAGTCCTTCACCTCCACCGAGACCCCACCTCATCGCCAGCTTCTGTACCAGCTCCCAGCTCAGTGTCACCCCCGGTCTGTCTTCAGCCTGGACCCCACACTAACTTCCAGTCCCTCGAACCACAACTCTGACACCAAAACCGACTTCCATCCCAACCGGGATCCCAGTTGTCTCCAGCTCAGAATTCCCGCTGTTCCTCCTCCAGCCAGGACCCAGATGGGTCCCCACCCCGGAGCTCAGGTCTCAAGTCAGGCGTGGAGCAGAAACGCCCACCCCACTCAGCCGGCCTCCAGAGCCTTTGAGCCTCCCTGGTCCCACACTCACTGATCTGGGGGCGGCTCTGAGGCCGGTGACTCCTGCCCATGGGGCCATTGGCACACGCCCACCCTGGGTTTCCACGCTCCATGTCCTGCTTCCAGGAATTCCTGAAGGAGCAAAGCACGAAAAAGTCATCCATCGAGACAGACAAACATGGGTACAGAAAGCCAGGCGTGTGGTGCACACCTGCAATCCCAGCCACTCAGGAGGCTGAGGCGGGAGGATCACAAGTTTGAGGCCAACCTCAGGAACTCAGTAAGGCCGTAACCAACTGAGTGAGACCATCTCAAAATAAAAAAAAAAATTAAAAGGGTTGAGGATGTCACTCAGGGATTAAGCAGCCCTGGGTTCAATCCCCAGTACCAAAAAAGGGGAGGGACTGGGGATGTAGGTCAGTGGTGAAGCGCCCCACCCCACCCCCGTTCCCCCCAAAAAAATTAAGGAACAGGAAAAGGAAGGGAGGGAAGTGCAGGGTGGCAGAAGGGGGGTCAGAGAACGGAGGGGAGGATGCAGAAGCTGGGAGAGCTAGAGAGCTTCGGAACCCCTGGCCACACGCTGTCCTAGGAACCCACAGAGGCTCCCTGGCCTCTGGGAGTGATGTGTCAGTGGCCCCAGGAGAGGGCAGAGCAAAGCAGAAGCAGGGTCCAAAGGTCTCGGGGGGCCGTCTCAGCCACCTTCCAGGACTGGCACTCACAGGTTGGGGGCAGAGAGAAGGCGGCAGATTTGAGACTCAGGGTCCCAGGCACAGTGGGGGTCTCGGGCAAGAACACAGTCCACACAGCTCTCGTAGACACTGCAGTTGGCTCGGGGCACCCTCCAGACACCTCCCGAGGAGCCCGCAAACAGTGCACCCTGGAATAGAGATGAAGAGGGTCGAGACAACCCAGGCCCAGGGGCCAGCCCCACCCAGCCCCCAAGGCCAGCCCTACTGGATGGCCATTTGAGGATCAGGTCCCTTCTCACCTGGGTGGGGGCCAGCTGCAGGTTACGAACAGGTTCGGGGTCAGGGAACAGCTGGATTTCCTCGACCAGGTAGGCATCACCATCCCCACTCACCACAGCCTTGTGCAGAGACCCTGTGGCTGTGGATAAACAGAGCTGGAAGCTTCTCCCCTGGCTCTCGAACCCTCTCAGCCTCGGGTGGCCTCCCCAGCTGCCAAACACTCCTGAAGTGCAGGGTGCACCGGGTGGGTCAGCCAGGCCACTCACTGTCCCCCAGGCCCACAGGTGGAGGGCTCTTGTAAATGACTTAGAGCCTTGGGCTGCTCCCTTTCCTTTGCAACTGCCTGAAAACTCTATTGCTGGAGAAACCCAGCTGCCCGCTTTCTCCAAAGACATGCGCAGTGGGCAGCTGACGGCCCTGTTGAAAATGACATCACTGGCCTCCATCATATGCATCAAATGTCTCTACTTGGGCGCCTTGGTGAGGCCCTGACCACCTTTTACAAAACTGCAACCATGGGCTGGGGTTGTGGCTCAGCGGTAGAGAGCTCTCCTAGCATGTGCGAGGCCCTGGGTTCCATCCTCAGCATCATACAAAAATAAGTAAATAAAGACATTGTGTCCAACTAAAAAATAAATATTAAAAAAACAAAATTGCAACCTACTTGCCTAGCAAGCGGGAAACTCTGAGTTCAACTCCCAGTACAAAAAAGAAAAGCAACACATCAAAACCTGCAACCTAATCAGGAAACGTAGAGACCTGTCTCTAATATACGTAGGTATATGTGTGTGTGTATATACACACACATATATTAAAATATATATCATATATATTTTATATATACATATATAATT